TTGGGCGAGGGTCCTCTTTCGTCTCGATGTGATTCGTGAACTCTTGCGGCAGGGCTGGTGGGGCTGGTGCTCCGGTTCTTCTCGCCGCTGGTGGTGACCCCGGTGATCGCTCTGGTGGGGCTGGCGCTGTTCGAGGTGGCGGCGACGCATGCTGCCACGCACTGGGGGATCGCGTGCATGTGAGTTGCGACTCTAAGAATTTTTTTCCTGGATTTAGCGGTCCGGTCGGGGGGAGAAATCATCTCGAGGATCTGCGATCGAGTTTTTTTTCTTTCCTTTAGGACCATCGCGTTGATCATCCTGTTCTCGCAGTACATGAAGAAGGTGTCCCTGCCCGTCCCGGTCTATTCCAAGTCGAAGGGGTTCAACTTCGCTTGGATCGCCGTCTTCGAGCTCTTCCCGGTCAGTGCCTCCCTCGTCTTCCCTCGCGGCGCAAGGGGAGATTCCGCGTCGGGCGGGGTTATGGTGGACGACGTCGCGCGTTTTCTTCGAGGTCGACGGAGCGGTTGCGGGCGTTCGCATCGTTTGCCGACCGTTCGACGATCGTAGGTTGCGACCGAGTTCCGTGAGTCTTCGTTAGTGGAAGATCACGTGGTCCGAGGGGGATCCTCTGCTCGCACGGAGAGTTTCTCAGAATTAAATACAGTTTCTAATTTGCATATTTAAAAAAATTCCTGTATCGTTGAATAGACTGTCTATCGCGTTGATATGCTGTAAAGCTCGGAACTACCCCCCACGCGAAATTCGTGTCAAGGTCATCCAGACATTCGACGGCATTAAGGCCTATAATAACGCGGAACGCCGTGCGTCTTTGAAACCCGAAGGTAACGGCGGAACGAGGAGGATCCGGTTCGAGTTACGTTACGCAAGCATCGAGCGAGACTCGAAAATAATTTGTCACTCGCCGAGCAGCGATTGCGCGGAACGCCGAAGGCGAGGTCCAGGTAACGGCGGAACGAGGAGGATCCGGTTCGAGTTACGTTACGCAAGCATCGAGCGAGACTCGAAAATAATTTGTCACTCGCCGAGCAGCGATTGCGCGAAACGCCGAAGGCGAAGTCCCCGGCTTGAGAATAATTCAGAAGAAAACGAAAAAAAAAGGGATTATAAGGGGAATAAACTTAATTGGCACGGTGCCTCCCACTGAAGACAATCATTCGGGGAGGGGGTGTCTCTCAAATTATAATAAATTATGCCTCAAATTATAATAAATTAGGTGTAATCAGTTGGACGGGAATTCCACGCAACACGCACGTACGAGGGAATGCACGCACGGACGCCATGCCCTTCCAAGGGGACGAGAGGGACGAGAGGGTGTCGCTCCATGCGCTCCGAGATGAGCGATGTCTTCCCACTCTTCATGACGATTGGAGTCGGTAGGTGTCTCTCGTGTTCGTTCGGCGGTGGAGGC